CTGTAAACTTCGATCATTAGTAAGGATTTTATGGGTTGTTGCTACTGTAAGAGAGAATTAGATCTATATGGGTTGGCTTCCGAAATACTTGAGTTTCCAGTTTTCCTGTATCCGTTCCGGTGATTACTATATGCAGGAATGATAGTTTATTGAAACAATGAAAGCTCCACAAGCACAAAGTCCAGCTCAGAGAACAAAACTCCGCCACATTCATCCATCTGAGCTACAAGTTTTCGCCACAATTTCACTAGGTGAATGTCAGCGAAATGAAATAATGAAAGATACGATTGCAACCTACAAACAAGATGCGTACATTTCGTATAGGGCAGCTAAGTCTGTAGTATAGGCGAGAGAAATATTATGAACTTGCAGTCACGAAGTTTACAGAAAACTCAAACACCCTCACAGCAAGAGAGGATACAAATATATGTGCTAAAAGTACGGTCTGAAAAATAAGTGGATATATGGTCGCTGGTAATACAATACAATACTGAGAAAAGTGCTTCATGATCTCTGTCATTAACTGTTAAATTGCTTGATACAAGCGAAAGTGTTGACTAGTTAACTGAATCATGAAAACTACATGCGTGACGATTTTATCATTCTACGTCACCAAATTTTGCATCACTGGTAAATTAACGAGCACTGGATAGGTGTATGGGATCTGTCAAAAGTGTGCTGTACAACTTCAGATGGGAATCAATAGGATCCCTTAGGATTTCCCTTCGCCTTACTCAGCAGATGTCGGATAGCCAAGAATGAAGCCGGTGTTGTTAATTCCACTGAATCACAATCAACCAAATACCAGTATAAAAATTCAGAGCTAACTGTAGAATCTATTTTGAAGGCCTTGTTTTTGGAAAATCCCTCCATGTTTATATATTTGTGTTATGATCTGACTGACTCTTTCTGTTCGATATTTTGGTACTTTATTTGATCCTATTTTGTGATTTTATCATTTGTATCTTGTTATTATTTCTATATCTTGTAGTTATGTTGAAGTTTCTATGTTTCCTTCTGAACTATACATGTGTTGTTTAAAATTAATACTTAATATGGCTACAGCCATTTTTGGATTTGATACTCTAGCAGCAGCTCGTTGCAATTAACTGGAAGCACTTATTCTTCCAGTATCGGAACTTTAATGTTGTGATTAGAAACTCGAGGGTGTAATATTGTTTTGGTAATTGTCTGTATTTCCCTTTTTGATCAAAAATAGAACCGTTCTTTCCCAGAATTATCATTTTTGGACTTGGATTGGGTGAGATGCGTGTAAACCTACACCTTTTGGATCCAGAGTTCACTGTGAGAGCAATAAATATTTCTACACTAACAGCTTAAATCTCATTTTGATCGCAAACTGACAAGTTTTAGTTTATCTAACTGTTAATTTTCATTAGTTACACGCCATAATAATTGTTGTGTAAGCGAAATTTTACTACTTACCTTTTTTGAATCTAGTGAATTGATCCTTGTCGTTTGGGCAATTATATCAATATCCGTTTTGAAAACAGTTGGAGTTCGTGCGAAACCTTTGCCGTTCTTGAAATTACACAATATTTTACTCTCTTTCTGGAAGTTAAGAGACACGTTTATGAAACCTGCTTGTAGGAGGATGAAGTCCTACAGCTTTTTAAATCATAGTGAGTTGGTTTGAGAAGTTAGCCACAAGTTTTAGATGGACAAATCTAAGTGAATTACGTCTTCCTTCTTAGTGGAGGAATAATTCGCTACATTGAGTCAGTCGAGGAATTACAGTGAATAGTTAAATATACCACAAAATTTGGCCCAGTGCAAACATTGGAGGTTTATAATGTCACTTTCGATCACTGGAGAGTAAAAATGTGCACGTATTATTCTGCTAGAGTTGAATGCGAATGATAGTCACCTATTCGTGTGTTGAAGTTATATTTTCTACGGTTATCTGCCCTGAAGGCAGTTGCTGTGCTGTTCAGCTTATCTGTTACAACCAGAAGATTTTGATCTTACCAGACAGACTTAGTGTTCAGAACAAAGAAAAAGAAGGACAGCTTATGACGGCCACTGTTTGAATCAAGTAGTATTGACGATTTTCCAGTCTGCGTTTGTCATACCTGACGTTACAGAAGTTTGGCAGATCATTCAACGTCCAGTAATCATCCTTTGAAGGTACGAGTTCTTCCACATTGATAGACGAATTTGCCAGGGTTCAGCGATATTTCGTTGATCAAACAAGCATTTAGTCTGATGGTTTTGAATATAGCAGACTGAAGATATTATTTTATCTACTTAGGTACATATGTTTTTGTTTAGGTTTCTAACCACATGATCCTTGTAACTGAGAAAATCTAGATTCAATATATAACCACCAGATCAGGTTGTGAATGGGGACAAACGTGACCCAGTAAATATCTTGAAGCCGAATTCATTATAACCTGAGATATCAGAAGATTGATGGGGTCTGAATAAGAACACTCTTTTGACCTATTAGTACACGACACCGATCATGCATGCAAACCACTCATTGCTCAAATTTATCACTTTAAAACGTCAGGCGTGAAACTCAGAAGGAGTCATCACGACACTAGTAATTCGCAACTGGTACCCTCTTTTTTATTATCCCCATCTAGTTCATGCAGTGGTCGACTTTGGGACCAGTCCGGCTACTGTTCATCTTCTAAATCTGTTTTCCTTCGAAGATGTATGCATGAAATATACTCGTCCACAAAAAATATTGTAGTAGGCTTCTTAATATACTCAGTCAGTCAGAAGCTAATCAATTATAAGACCGCTGGACGACTATCAGAAGCGGCCCACAGGATGAAAGCATATCATTGGTTAAGAAAGGTGTTACGTCCAATTTTTGCTCCTTCGTTTTGTTAAGTACTGTGTGTCGATCTATTTGCAATTCACGAACCCAATTCTATGACAAAACGAAATTCCAAAGTTAGGTACCAAAGTTTATTTTTAATTCACAAATAATCGACCAAAATGTCGTTCGTCGAATTACAAATAGACGACCAATGTCGTTCTAACAACAATAATTATAATAATTACAATTACCTTCAATTTTGTAGGTTCCTGGAGCAAAAACTGCAAAAGAACAAACCAAGACAAAAAGGAATCCAAAAATTGCCGAAAATAATAATTCAAACAAGATCATAAGTTAAGTAAAATAAATATACCCAAAAAACAGTGAAATTAATGATATTTATATAAAGGTTTTAATCAACCAAATATCTTCATTTCTCCCGTAACACGAGGTAAACACATTTATCTAATATTCGGCAAATCTTCTCTTCTGCTCTTCGTTTGCTGGCTCAAGAGACAAGTTTTACAGCTGGGGTTGAAATTTATCTCTTTCAGATCTCGGCACCGCACATCATAGCACTTCTAATATCTCGTAAATAGTGTGTTAATTAGGCAGCAGTTGAGTCTGGGTAGATATACAAAGTTAGTCGGAATCTTCATTTGTCAGGAGTTAGACATACAATATCAGGTCGAAGAATGACTTTAATAAAGAGTTAGGCCAGAACAACTCATCAGATTCGTCTGAAGAATTCTGTGTGATGCTGAAGTCACAGAATGTATACTTTCATAAATAATTGGAACTGACGTTTAGTTAAGTACTTATTCTTGAACCTCATCTAGTTTTTATTGTGAGACCATCGAGTAATATGGCGGAACTTCTGAAACAGATATTCTAGCTTAGGTCTATGACTTTTAAATTCACTGTTCAATAATTGAATAAGAATCCTTTAAAGGTAAGGGAGAGTTCGAGTAGTTTTAAGTTAAATCGGTTGAATCGGTTCGATAATATTGGTCTAAGTGTCCTTAAACATTAGGGGGGCTGACTCTAAAACAGCAAAACACAATTATTAAGACACAAGTCAGTTTTCCAAGAGGGACATATAAGCTAATGCAAAAAAGGTCACAGAATTGACCGTAAACTGCTGCTGCGGGTGCTTATGAGTAGTCAACTTTCTTATGCCTCTTAGGATAGCCACTCTTACCAATGAACTAATCCTGTTTGACCTGGAAGGATGTAGAGGGATGAATTTAAGACGTCCAGGGATTTCTCGGATATTCCTAGATGGACAACGCTTTTGTCTGTAACAACTTTCAGATCGAGAATACCCTGACCCAACTCCAACCAGAAGTTGGGAAGGATGGTATAGTTGAATGTTGTTCGGGATGTTGAGGAGTTTGCCAGTGGATGCTAGGAGATGAGTTACACGGTGCACCCTTGAAGCGTGATTGAGCGTCTTTAAATTGGTGTGTCTAGTACAAAAAAAGGAGATCAGAATTAAAATGGAAAACTTACAGGACTGTTCTAGGGACTTATTTGACGCTACACCTCTAAGAAGGCTGAAGCCACTACCCATTTCCGAAAATCGTGACTAGGCTTGCGTTTGAATTTTTATCATATGCTCAGAATGATCATATGATAGTGAGAGGGTGTTAGGTGGAAAACTGACTTTAAAACTGGACACAAAGATGTCAAAGGCTCTACAGTTAAAGGAACGTTTCTGCCTTTATTTTATACCAATTCTGACAGACCAGATAATAGGTCACACCTCAATATCACTCACAGTCAATGATTTCAATGTATAGAGATAGCTTTTTCTAACTCTTCAAAAACAGACGACGTCTACGTAGGGATTGTGGCATAGAAAATCCTTATTTTAGGTTCCTCGATTAATTTATTGTTGACTTATTCTGATTTATAATGCTTTTAAAGAATCAATATGAGCATCTCCACCTCTTTGTACTCAAAATCAAATCACATAAAGAAGAATTGGGTCTGAGAGACAATAGTTGAAGGAAGAAATACCCATTGGTTTCTCTAGCTCATATGATAATGTTAGAAGTCCAAGAAATAATATGGGCCCGAGATATGTATCGAAACGGACTCAGAAGAAGTCTGTCACTACGAGACTACAATTGCGTCTGAGTACAATTGAAACCATTTAATAACTTCACCTAATAATTCAGCGGGATTATTATAGTAGTCGCTACTGATGATTATTTTAGAGGTTTGCAACCGGGCTGTAGAAGAAATTCTAATAACCAGATTTGAACAGGCAAAAGACGAGTAAAATCAGAATTAACTCTAAGCTTTAAAACATTTAGATCTAGATATGATAAACTTGACTACACCGTTGCGGACTTCGATAGTGTTGTCTACACTATAAGTAATCCAAACAATGACAAGAAAAAGATACTCGTCAGTATATACATCAAATTCTTCTCCGAATTGAAAGAACATGGAGTTAATGAGGTTAGTGTCCAACTTTTAGACCTTACACTATATGGTTATAAGTTCTAAATAATTAGCTTCCATGCATTTCTGAAATGCTAACATTACCTTAGTATGTGAATTCCATTACTTGTTAGATGACTAGATTTTTCAGTTTTCTTTTTTTCTTTTCACTCCATGTGTTTGCTGCTGACTCCACGAAGTGAATCAGATTATTCTGGTTCGTATACCATTTCACTGTAGTTATCGCATGGTTGTTTCAGTCACTTTACAATTATCTATGTTGCTAAAGTAATTCTGCTGATAAAAATCTAGTATTCTGTTATGTTTCTCCAAGTCCATAGCCACTGGTTGCGATTACCAGGTGGACTTCAATCAACCTATTGACATTCAATCATTAGGACTTCATGAACTGGTTCCATGTTTTAGTTTAACTGCCCTTAGCATTCTGCCAGTCTACTCTAACGCTAGTATTGTTGCTTAAGATGGTCAGAAAATTGTGTATATTTTCAACCTCACCAAACAGAATTATGACATCTGCGTATTCTAAGTCAACAAGCTAATCTCCTAGCAGAAAGTCAACTCCTGAAGTTGGACATCGGAAGTGCTCATCTTTAACATCTATGAAAAATTTCAGTGAAAGAAGACGGTTACCATTTGGATGAATCGATTCTGATGACATTTCCCTTTAATCTGACTTGACCAGTAATGTTTGAATAGTCTGTACAAGGTTATTGTACTTCTTTGGTATGACTTTCAACGACGGATACTGCCACAGAACCTTACCATCAGCAAAGTCAAACTTTGCCTTAAGGTCAAGGGATAAAACTATTGTTGGATGTCGGAAAATATGTCTGTTTTTTAGAACCTGTTGAATTGTAAATATTTGGTCGATGCGTTCTCTTTCAGGTCTGAAACGGGCCTGGTTACTTCGAGTCTGCTCTTCAAGAGCTCTAGTTATTCGTTGAAATATTATTAAAGCTGATATTTTAGACACTATTAGTTAAACCGATTCTTCCGTGATTTTAACCAGAGGATCTTTGTCCTTTCTGACAGACTGGAACGATCAGCGATCGAGATCAGTCAGATGAGATTTCGTTCAGTTCCCAGCCTCTAGCTATGATATCAGTTAAGCTAATTGCCAAAACTAAACCGCCATTCCTAAAAACCTTGAGAGTTAATATACCAGGGCCTGTTGCTTCTCTTAACTTTAAATTGCCTATAGCCTTTTCAGCTTTACTAAGTGTTGGAAGACTTACATCAGTTCGCCATTTAAATTGCTTGGTAATGGTGGGTAACTGAGGTATTGCTGAAGTCCGGTTGAACTGTCCCCTGAAGTGTTCTACTCATTGGTCCAATCAACTGAATCAAGTGGAAACAATAGTCCCGCCTTTTTTCTAGGTAGTCCCACTAACAACCGGACTTTTGATACTCGTTTTCTTAATAAGTCTGAACAGTTGTCCCATGTTAACTATTGCTACCGCCTTTTCCATCTCTGTTAACTTCTTTACTCACTACTACTCATAATAACTGCGTAGGGCTTTTATCAGCCCGTGTTCAAGCTGCCTTCACTCTTCATCGTTCTTAGAGCCAGATGGGGTGAGTTTCCGAGTATTTATCAGTACAATAGATGCCGCTGAAATCAACTGATTTTTCATAATCCTTTGATTCAATTTACTAGTAGATATCACTATTATTTCCCCAGCTCTTTGGATGTCATAACAAGCTGCCTTGGGATGATTATCACTTACGTGGTTGACTAACTGGTTTTTTAGTTGTTCCTGAAATGTTTATCGTTGAGTTGAGATCCAAGGGGTTATCTTGCTATGGTTTTTTATGTTCGGTAAGATACCAACAAATCCTTGCTCATATTAGAGTATGGTCTAAGTCTAAACATGTGCTCCATTTTGTGTGGCCTTCTCTTATCGAGCCTCTCCAACGATGGCTGATGGCAGTGTGGCCTATTTGATTTAAGGAGGTCGCCACGTAAGACGATGTTTATCCTTACGCTTAAAGTTGATGCTTTCTAGCGATAAACGGTTATCTGAACATAGTTATAGCGAACGGTTGCCATTATCTGTTTGCTGAGTCACGGCATCATAAGATACGCTCACTCGCCTTTCAGTCTAGTTCAGTCTACCTACTCGCTCATTAAAATTACCACTATTTATTACTCATTCAGTTACAACGTAAAACTTCGTACGTAATTGCATAAGCTCATGTTACCATACCATATTAGCACAGAGACGCAACTATCAGTTCAAATCCCATAGTGGTGTAGAGAAATTAGAAGTATAAGCAGTAATGGAGAACATTAGGGTTCGAAGATATTATTCAAGAATTATAATTCAGTGGGATAACTTTAGAGAAAGAAAGAGGTGATGAGAAATTAAGAATATAAGAATCTATGAGAACACTAATAGTGAATGCACCTGCGCTATTGCAAACGGTTTTAATCCATATCACTCAGGGTCTCTAACCATCAGTTACTATCATCTCACGGACTCCAACCAGGTAGTCGACACCTACCGACATGACTCAATTCACTTGTCAGTGATTCCATGGATTTCTGCCATGTTTTGGTCTGGCTGCCCCTAGCTTCCTTCCAACCTATTCTTACATTGCAAAACATAGCTCGACGAGGCAGTCGGTGGTTGGGCATACGTAACACATGTCCCAACCACCTCGACTGATGGAGTCTCGTTACTTCATCAATTGGACTGCCATTCTCACTTAATACTCGTTTCCTAACGGTAGCATTACTTACTCGGTTATCCTAAGATACACAAGCAATGCTTCGAAGATATCTATAATCGAATACTTTCTTTCACTAGATTCTATTTCTTGAATAATATCGTCGAACAATAATCTTTGCGATTAATTCTAATACTTCTACTATGGCATTTGAAGTGACAATTGCTTCTCTGTGCTAATTTGGTATAGCAACTTGAACTGATGTACGTACGTACGAAGTTCTATGTTGTTGACTGACTGACTGATAATCGAAAACTAATAACCTACGAATATCCTCAACTCCTACTGGTCATGTTTAGCATCCATATAGTAGGACGGAGCCAACTGTTGTGCAGTACACTCGTCCTTTGGTTAGCAAATGGATATCTTGCCTACACCATAGGTGACGCAAGTTGGCAAAAGCCAATCGAGCTTTCTGTATCCGTGCTGAGATTTCGTCAGTCACCAGTCCACCAGCACTGATGAGACTCCCCAAATAAGTGAAGCGGTCAACATACCCAACTGCTTCACTCTTTATCACTTGTCCAGGTGCCGATACAAGCCAATCCTGAAGCAACATTTTGCATTTTGACGCGGAGAATCGCATCCCGAACATGCTTGCATTGTTTAGTCGGGAGGACTGCATTTTCAGCGTCTTCATCAAGTAGAACTATATCGTTGGTATATTCAGTCAGCCAAAGGATCTCCCGGAAGTAGATCTACTCTTGAAAAGTCTTATGAAGATAATGTTACATCTAGAAGCAGGTGTATGACAAAATTAAACAAGAATGGTGAAAGGGGATGTCCCTGACGGACACCACTTGAAGTAATGAATTCCGATGACAGTTTGCCGATAAGTTCTAACTCGACCAGCAGTGTTCGAGTAGATAGCTTTTGTAAGGTTAATGTACTTCTTTGGTACACCTTTCAATGACAGACACTGAGACAGAACCTCACGATCAACAGAGTCAAATGCCGCATTAAGTTCGAGAAATACTACTATTGTGGGACATTTGAACGTGTGAAACTAGTCTGGTTTTCTCTAGTTTTCTCTTCACGAGCTCTAATTAGGCGTCTAAGTATAATTGAATCTAAGAATTTAGAAACTATATTAGTTAGACTTATTCCCGTATGATTGTCACGAGAGGACTTTTGTCCTTTCTTATAAATTGGGACAATCACGGATTGAGAACAGTCAGATGGGATTGCGTCTACTTCACAGATTCTACCTAAGATCTCAGTCAATCTGGCTGCTAAAACTAGATGACCATCCTTGAAAATCTCAGGGGTAAGCCTGTCAGGCCCTGCTGCTCGCCCTCTTCAGATTTCCTATGGCTTTTTCATCTTCATAAAGAGTCGGAGGACTGATAATGATTTACCATTCAGGATGACTGGATATCGTTGGCAACCGAAGTGTGATTGAAGGCCACTTGAGCTAATCCCTAAAGTGTTCTGCCCATCGATCCAATCTCCTGGATTGAGAATGGATAATAGGACCATCCTTTTCTGCGACAGTTTCGCTAACAGATAAATTCCTAATACCTGTTACCTTGAAAAGGCGGAACATCAGAGCATTTAGGCTTTTGAAGATAGGGAGACGTCCTATAAAATTCATCTTTTACTTCTTCTTATCTGTGATCAGTAGGAGCGTAGGCAGGAGCGATAAATGGCCAACTGCATGTGTCCTAATCTTCCCGAGTCTTCACTATTCTTTTTAAAGTCGACCTTTTCTAATCTATTTTCCGCCTTTGTGAAGGATCAGTATCGGTACAAATGCTGATTGTCTGAGGAAATAACCTTACTGCTGTCACTCCCACCATCAGCATTAGGACTACTGAGAGAAAGGATATTAGGTTGCTGCTTTTAGTTTGTCGTTCTCCTGACAATCTGCCTGGCATGGTAGGATCTAAAGAAACATGAGTTTTAGCCAATATAACTTGGTTGAGTTATTTTAGTAAGCATCCTGGACCACTGCCTCAGGGTAACAGCGAAAGTTGGGTTGCGTTTGCCGAAGTTGACATACCGCATAAGCTCGACAAGAAAAAATCAACAGAAGAGACCGGGATCATGTAGTACTAATAAAAATGGAAAAGGCTACGCATTTAATTAGGGTTCGAAAAGATAGATGAAAGGGTATATGCAGGCGGACAATGGGACTCAAATCAAACAGAAGATCAAGATTGAGTGTATGTGCCTAGTCGCAAATACTTCTGAGCCATTTTTACTCATTTTCTAGCAGTGCAGGTGCATTTATTCTTTGTGTTCTCTCAAATCCTAATCTTCTGGATTCTCCAACACCTCTAGTTTTGACTTTCTAAACTCTTCTCACTGAATCACACTTCTTGAATAATATCTTCTAATCCTAACCTCTCCGATTACTTCTAATACCTTTACTACCTCTTCTACTATTGAATTTGAATTGAAAATTACATCTCTTTGCTGATGTGGTATGGCAACGTGAACTGATGTACTTACGTACGAAGTTCTACGTTGCATCTGACTGACTCTGACTGAGTTTCTAGCAGTTGATTGCTGTTATCGCACGGTTCCGAATCAGGCGATCTATTTCTGTCAGCATAAATTTAACCAACTGTCGAATACACCATAGGCTGTTGTTGTATCTTGGCTTGACCGCCTCTAAGTTTCTTCCAATCTACCTCTATACCAGCAAACATCGCCCGACAGTAGTTAAGCATACTTAGCATATTTCCTAATTTCTTCAGTCTGTGGAGATGAAATAAAATTTTATGTAATGAAATAAATCGAGTACACTATGAGCTTAGCTATCTAATCGGTTTTCGCATTACTTTCATGATTTCGGCTAATATATAAAGACTTTTAATATCAAGATTCGTTTATCAAATTCATTATAACAATACAGTAGCTTTTATTTTTAAGTTATCAGCAGAAACTCAAACATATATCGAGAAATTGTGCTATACACTTGTAATCCATGACACGTAAAAAGTATTCATCAGTAGTAGTCACCTTACGAACCTCTATCATCGTCATCATCATTTATTGCAGCCCTTTGTGGGTTACATAATCCCATTCAATTTTGTTCATCTTACAACAAATAGTAGTGGTATGCTTTGTTTTAACTTTGATTACTTTTTTTTCAAATCAAGGTACTGGCTCGTGAATATGGTGATCTACTTCTTTCTCCAGCAGAGGCTAATCAGAGTGTAACGTTATGCATAGATTTAGAGAAACTACCTTCGGATCATAATCAATTAGCTCGTAAATGTGGTCTTTTGAAAAGAAATTGTATGGCAGCTGTTTTTGAGAAATTCTTTCAATATCAAATTCAATCTAGTGCGCACTCAGTTTCTAAGCGGGCTGTGATACACTATAGAGATGATGAAACAATGTAAGTTTTTCACTTTGATCTATTTATCTCTTTCATCTAACCAAGAGCATAAGTAGTATAGTTAGTGCTTTTTTAAAAATTATTTTGCTAAGAAAACTTTGGCTCTAACTGTGTTTAACTTGAATTCATTGATCAGACACCTCATTCTGTAGTATAAATTGTTATATTTATGCTCGAATGTTTGGATTTATGAATCATTGTTTGTCTTCTTTACGATATCATTTTTTTATTTCAATAGGTATGTACAAGCATTAGCTGACCGAGTTACAGTTATTTTTAGTACAACATTTAAAGATCCAGATGATTTGTTAATTGGAAAAGTGTTTATGCAAGTACGTATCGATTTCTGTTTTAATGTTTAGTGTTTTATTTTTTTCATACTTTCATTAGTTTTACTTATTTTGTATCAACTTGAATGCAAAAAACAAACATTTCATCAGCAGATTAATAATAAATAGATAGATTCGAAGTCGATTTCGAGTGCTGTTACTGGTATGAAAGAGTATGTCACTTCCCGGTTGCCCACACCATGGAAGGGTATTTTTTGAGGAACCTGAAGAAGAAATCTAATTAGCGTTGATCTTAAAGATCTGGAAGCGTAACCACAGAGCCCGATGGACAACTATTTGGGGCCGGTCACGTACGGCCTTTATATTGGAAGATTTTGAAGGGTTAGCACCGCTCTTTAAATGGCCTTACCGCCTTGGACGGAAATCCGTGGGGTAAGATGAGGTGTAATATTTTTCGGGTAGACCTTTTCTAACCCCTTCCTTCCTTATGAGAAGGCAACATTGCCACAGATGCTGGCTGTCCGAGGGAAACACCTAACTGCTGCCACACCTCTCTACAGTCACCAGTACGACTTTGCCCTCGGTCCTTGAGTAGCTGCTTTTAGTCTTACCGTTCTCCAGTCAACGCGCCCGGCATGCTAAAACCGATAGGAACCTATGTTCCAGCCAATATATCTCGGTTGGTAAGCCCTATCACTACGGTCGGTTCGCAAATAGGCATACCCATATCCACCAAAACCATAGCAATATACAGTTGACAATTAGACCTCATCCACCTAATTTCGTTAACTGAATCACATTACCAAGATTGTCAACCGAAATGTATTAAGTAATACATATTTATGTGCTTAAACTACTCAACTCTCAGACCTTGAGTTGCTGCTTTTAGTCTTACCGTTCTCCAATCGACCTGCCTGATATAGTAGGACCTAAAGAACTATATGTTCCAGCCAATATAGTTCGGTTGAATCCTAGGCAAGCCTAATCATCACATCAAGATTGCAACTACGTTGTCGGTATAGATAGAAATCAATTAATAGAAATTATTTTGGGGTTTATAGAGAGAATCATTAATTTTATGACACAAGTCTCAGATAACTATCAACCAAATATTTCAGTTTCAAAAGAAACAGATAAGATTAAGTTTGATTATTCAATGAAATAGAAAAAAATTGAATATAATCAATCTCTATCGCTATCAATGGTATCCATATCCATTTAATGCTTTCAAGTGTAAATAAATGAAAATAGTTATTCAAATCATAGCTATTAGTAACTAAGTGAGTAAACCAGCAATTATGACCTGGATTCAATAATCAATAACTATTTTAAAAGCTATTACAAGCCAAGAATGTAACAAATTCAATATGTAACCTATATAAATAGCATTTATTTGTTTATACCCAAAACTTAAATAACTTTTTCTTTGAGCTTATTTTGTGAATTTATTTACTGGAATGTTTTTTTCTAAACTGATTACAAAATTTTTTGTGTGTGTGTGTTTTATACATATACAACCAACATATTACAGGAATTCACTGAGGTACGAAGACGTCTTGATAGAGCACCTCAAGTATTGTATTCACATCGTGTTCCACCAAAAGAATTAGAAGGAACTGATGCAGTTATTAGTGATTCAGTTGCGTATATCACTTTTGGTAGGTTAATTCACAATTACTTCTTTTCTATCTATTTGCATAGTGCAGTTGTAATTGTTTAATTAGCTGAATAAATGCGATTTTATGCTTAAATCATGAATCCATCCTCTGTGTTAGACCATCATTGGCAACCTGGAAACATTGGACGGCCGTCTGGTCCTAGGATTGATCTCATCAGCAGTGCTCATCCACAACCCCGCGTGCGAAAATCGAACCTCGAACAATCAATATTGAGCAGAAACACAACCTGTAGACCATCCAACATTGTTAATATCTAACTCCAACCAATCCACACTATTGTGTGACCATCATCTATTGTCTTCGGTGGGTAACTGTTCCACATCCAACACGAATGAACTCTGCTGGTTATGGCTTCTTACTAGAACTCCAAGAATTTCCTTTTGAAGCTAGTCACTAGTGAGCATATGATAATTTTCATTACATGGTTGTGGAGATTGTTGAATTTCAGTGGAGTAATCTATTATATAATTTCTGCCTGCATTTATCATAGTGATGATAATCATTTGTTTGAATTTCTCTTTTTCTTTCTTTTGTATCTATTGTTTTCTGAATGAATCCCATCAGTGCTTTTTCCACGTCATTTATCTACTGAATCTGGACGTAATTCTACTATTGATTTAATACAAACATTAAGAAATTATCTACATTATCATATTAAATGTTCCAAAGCTTATATGCAAATGCGTATGCGTGCTAAAACAGTGGAATTTTTGAAAGTACTTAATCGTGCTCATATTGATCATCCAACTAATACTGTGATTAATATGAATGTTACAACTATCACTGGTGGTGGTGGTGCAGGTGGTGGTGTTGGCGGTGCCTAATTTTATCATCAATGATGAATATGTATGTTATTATTTATTTGTTTATTGTTTGTGTGTGTTTTTGTTAGGTCTGTAAAGTACTGACGAAGGTGTTGACTCTTCATCAACTAGTAGACATAGTGGTTTAGTCGGTTACAACGTAGAACTCGGTACGTACGTACGTACATCAGTTCAAGTTGCCATACCACATCAGTACATAGAGTCAATTGTCGATTCAAGTCCCATAATAGTAGAGGTAGTAAAAGTATTAACAGTAATCGGAGAGATTAGGGTTTGAAGATATTATTCAAGAAGTATAATCCAGACCAGAAGGATGAAGGTCATGAGGAGTTTAAATTAGAACTTGGGAGAAGACAAAAAGTGGGTGCACCTACGCCATTGCAAACGGTTTGGAGCCATGTCATTCAAGGTCCCTAACCATCGGTTACTATCATCTCGCGGACCCAAACCAGATAGTCTACGTCTACCAACATGACTCAGTCCACTTGTTAATGATTTCATGGATTTGTGCCATATGTTGGTATTGCAGCTCCTGGCTTTCCTTCAGCCTATTCCTACATTGCAAAACATAGCTCGACAAGGCAGTCGGTGGTTAGGCAAACGCAACATATGTCCTAACCACCTCAACTGAGGAAGTTTCACCCATACCTAGGATCCGTTTCCTAACAACAGCATTGCTTACTTGGTTGTATCAGGATACACGAGCAATGCTTCGGAGACACCTATGGTCGAAAACAAGCAGTCTACGAATATCCTCAACTCCTACTGGCTATGTTTCGCATCCATAAAGCAGGAAAGATGAAACTACTGCACAGTAAACCCGTCCTTCGGTTAGCAGATGTGCTGAGACTTCGTCAGACAATAGACTGTCAGCAATGATGAGACTCCCCAAATCAGTGAAGCGGTCAACATACCCAACTGCTTCACTCCCTATCACTAATTCAGATGCCGATGCAAGCCAATCCTGAGGCAACGTTTTGCATATCGACGGTGGAAAACCGCATCCCGAACATGCTTGCATTGTTCCTTAAGGCGGTGAGAAGACTGAATTTTGTCAGCGTCTTTACCAAGTAGAACAATGTCACTGGCATATTCTAAGTCAACGAGCGAATCTGCTGGTAAAAATTCAACTCCTAAAAAGTCAGATGATGCAAGTGTCTTATCTAAAAGCACGTCAGTGTCATTGATTATCACCACAGTGCTGATATTAATTCTCCACCTTTTTATATTTTTCCTGTTTCTAATTCATCTTTTTCTGTGATAATGTGAAGGATGGTAACCTTTTGAGCTTCTGTATTTGTCTATTGGTTCTAGACTATGCAATGCTTACGTAAGTATCTACAGGAAGAAGTGAATGGAATTTGACTATATCAATATATGGGACAATTTGTTTCTGGTAAAATTTCATTGAAATCATGAATCGATCATTGTTAAACCATCATTAGAAACATGGAAGCACTGGACGGCCGTTTTGTCCTAGCATGAGACTCATCAGCGGTGCGCATCCCCGACCTCTGCATGCAAGCATTGAATCCAGGACCTTCAGTCTCGCACGTAAATGTTTAACCTCTAAACCATGGAGCCGGGATAAAACAGTGTTAATGTCTAACTTCAATCAATCCACGATATTGCGTAACCTCATCCATGGTGTTCAGTGGATAACCGCCTCACTCGACAGGGTTGAACTCCACTGGTCATGTCTTCTCACTAAACTCCCGCGAATCTCTTTTATAAAGGTAGTCACTAGTGAGTACACGAAAATTGTCATCACAGGGTTTTAGAGGTTACCTGAGTTTCATTAAAATCATGAATCGATCAATCATAAAACACAGTGTATATGTAAATACTTATTAAGCAATGAACTTTTATTACTATTATAACTATTACCAGTGTTTATCGATTAAAATGTTGTGTATGGTAATTAGAAAAAGAATTCTTAGTTTTTTTTATTGTTCTGATACAATGCAGTTAATTAGTTCAAAAACTAGAACATTTTTAACATTTCTAGGTCATTATTTGTTTAAAAACACAGCAACATTGGTACAAAGGGATACTTAAATATTTATGTACCATACAACTTACTGAATTTATGAGTGGACTGAGATACTGTCCAGCCACCCAAACCAAAGCAGGTGGTTTTCTTAGGAGGCAACTCCTCGAGCCGTTGACTCAAAAGTTTAATCCAAAAAGCCGGGCACCAACGACAGGCTCATACGTCATGGGTTATGGAAACCATGTGCACCACTGGTTTGGAACCAAGGTTTTCCAACTCTCCCAGTTGGATACACTAAGGTTATTACCAATCCGGTTAATGCGCTGAACACTCGCCTTTTGTCCTCTCAATTTCATAAACAAAACCTTCGCCACTAAAAGACAGTGAGTAGAACTTCCCTGAAAGTGGCTATACATGCAGTCATATGAAAGCACTTGTTCATACCAGGGCCTTTGAGGGTTAGGTTAGTTCAGAGGGTTAAATAGTTATCATATTTTCCACTGTACACATATGTTTTAGCAATAAATTTGTAAAGCGGCTATCCTTAAAATTGAGGACTTGTGTTTCGTTCTATTTGGGACTTTCCAACTAAATGTATCTGACACACACAAGTGTTGATATTTACTTTAAGACTTGAACCTAATCGATTTCGCTTCAAATGCCGAAACCACTATCCATTGAGCTATTCAGTTCAAATAGTCACTGTTTTGTACAATAGATATACATTTCAATTGTAAGCGTTTTTTTTCCCATCATTGAAACGAAAAGAACTGAATTCTCTGTAGATAACAATTTTGAAATGTAAATTCGTTCAGTTGATAAGTCTTAAATAGGAAAAACCTTCAGCTTTGAATTTCACTGTCAATTAGTCGGAAAACTCAAACCTTTACTGATATGCTCACTAGTGACTAGCTCCGTGAGGAAGTTTCTCCGAGTTCAAATGACAAGTCTTAACCAGTGAAGTTCAACTCTGTTCGAGTGTGAAGCAGTGCTCACCGAACACACTGGATGAGCATGTAAAAGACTAAAGATTAATGGAAGTTACACATTAACACCGTTGGATACCGACTCAGTCGTCTAGAGGTTAAGCGTTCATGAGCAAGGCCGAAAGTCCTTGGTTCAAATCCTGCGAGTAGCAGAAGTTGTGTATGCCTCACCGCTGATGAGTCCTACACTAATGGTGGTCTAACATTGATCGATTCATGACTTCAATTTGACTGTACTGATTGTATATATATTTCTGGTTAGTATTTTTTTAGCGAGTTGGCTGGGGTCGCTAACCGTATGCCGAACCCTCCCCCATCATCCGGGCTTGGGGGCGGCTCCAAGTCGGGGTTATATATTTATACATATATACATATATAATTAATAGTGATTAACTCACATTTTAATTTCTTTGAAAATTTCTTCTCTTTTTTTTTACAGTGGTCTCGAACAATGCGTACAGGTTAATATTTTCAATCAATTGATCGATCAATAAATAACATTCTCTCGATGCTAGTTTTTCTTTTTTACATTTGATATTTTTTTCTGCTTCTTCTCTACTCTGATTCAATTTGATACTATTTTGTTGTATGTTTTTTGTTTTTGGAGAACGCATAGAGAGAATCTTCGTTGTATTTTTGCTCTCTATCTTTCTCTCTTGCAAACTTGCCAATAATAATTATAATACTAATAACTAGATATTAATTCAATTAGGTTGATTAATAAAACAAGAATAATTATAGATATATTTGTAAGGACTACTTAATTTTATTTTATACACACACACACACACAAAATTCATTTTTCTATTGGATATTTTTATATTTTGATTGTTTGATATTATTACACTTGAGTTGTGATTTCATTTGGATTAAAGTGTGTCTCGGTTGCCTGCTTGTTTGTTTGCTTACTTGCTACGACATTTTATTTTTTAATTTAAATTTCTTTTTTTTTCATTTGGACACATTCCTCTTTCACAGTTGTTGGTTACCTTGTTCATTTTTTGCAATTATCTCATTTGTATTGTTCATTCACTGTGTCGTCGTCATCATCAGCATGATGAAACAAAACACTTGAACAAACAAATAGTGGTTAGTAGTAAATGAGTAGAATGAATGTAAACAACGATAGAAAAGTGGGCAGTCGAACACAAATGCCAGACAGAGTTCAACACGGTTGCCATGTTTTTTTTTTTGCTTCATTTATCATCCGATAATAATGTTGATTTTTAGTTGTTGCTGTTTTCTTGACATCTCCGCATACGACCACCGACTGACTTTCTGTTGTGAAAACAAACACATTCCTTTATTCATTTGTTTCACCATTCCCTTCGATAAATAAGTATTTTTTGGGAGGAGAAATGTTTTTACAACCACTTTGTGTGATTACGTTGAATAGTTTAACTGTTCTTGATTTTCCGTTAATTACTCAACTTCATTCTACATATATATACACAAACACAGCTATTTAACATTGGTGGTCAATACAATCGACAAGATTAGTAAAATCAATCTCCACACACACATACACATACAACGAATGAATCGAGCCTACAAAACCCGTTTATGCTCACTAATACTTGGCAGTCAGTCATCATGTTAATGAAGTAAATAAATATTGTGCCAATTAATCTATACGCTTAGTGTTGTACTATTTTTTTTTCTTTAATATGACCTTCATTCTGATCACTCACTATTTTTTTTTTTGCTTTCAAATTAAAAAACAAAATTTTTTTTTGAATAACCATGACTTTTGTTGTGTATGTGATTGCTGTTTTTTTTTCTAGTTACTTTTGTTTCTTGTCTTATCTTGTATCTTCTTCTGTTCATTTATATCTAATAATATGCATGTAGACACTGAAGGTGTTTTTTCTTTTTTCAAATTTTATAATAACAAGACTGAATATGGTTTATTGAACATTGAATTAGTTGTTTTCTCTCTCTCTCTCTCTGTGTCTTTGCTAACAAACATTATATTGCAATCTTTGTTAATTTTTTATAAATATATATATATAGTGCCTTTT